TTATAAACTTTGAAGCTTTATATTTCTGGAACGGTTTATATAAAAGATAATTTTGGAGGTGTGTCTTGAAAACATCTCGACAAGATATATAACTTTTATTTCAAGAAAAAATCAAATTTTATTTAAGAAATTGGTAGTCTTTAAAGAAACAACCATATTTACGACTCATATCGGAGAATCATGTGTCTCACTTTAAGGGCTGTGACACACAGAAAAACGTAAGCAGTAAACAAATTGACCAATCACAGTTGTTGATTCTTAGATCATAAGGAGAATCATTGACTATGATTGGTCGATTCGCTTACTGCTCACGTCTCACTGCTTAGTTTTTTTTTTACCTAAACCGTTTTTTCGTGTAAACCAAATAACTTTTGTTTGAAGCGTATTTTTTCCTATAAAAGGTTTTTTGGGATGAGAGTAAATTAAATTGAGATCCCATATAATTAGAAAATAAAATTTTAATTGAGCATTCACCTCATACGAGAGCAATAGAGAGTTAAGACACGTTGAATTCATTTGAAATTAAATCATCACGGTGAACGTATTATGAACTCCTCCGAGGCACTTGAAAACGGCATGAGTCGGCTTTACAATTAATACCAGCTAAGTAACGTGGCGCCAATCGCTGAAACTCCGTGCAAATTGCAGCGACAGATTGCGCGCTGCGGTGGACGCGTGCTGTGACGGCAGGGAGGCGCGTGTGTGCCGGGAAACCTCTCGTCAGGCGCGAGTTCGTGCCGTCTGTCAATAAAAAAGAAAATATCTTCATATTCTTTGGTCTCTTTTTTCTTCTCTTTCCATCCTTCTCGTATCTTTTGTTATTCCTCTCTCGCATCATTCTTCTCATTCCCTCTCGCGTATTTTCCGCCCTTTCTGAAGCCCTACATTTTCACCTTCTCTCCGTTTTCTTTCTCCCCAACTTGACCTACTCTTTCTTTCTCTCTCGGCACTTTTCGCAATCTTTGGCTATTAAAAAATTCAATATAACGAAAAGGTAAGGACCGTATTTCACGTAATAGGAAAACTTACAGCATTTACTCAGTAATACCGATGGAGACATATCGTTTTATTTTATTACCACTGTGTGAGGTACGATCTGTATTCTCTCCTGTTTGATACTGACTTGTCACACGTTCGGCCATATCATGACGATACCAAGAACTTTGTTCGAAATGACTTTCCCTCAGCATGAGCTCCGTTTCGTTATATGTCACGTAGGAATAATTTACGAAAACTCTCGAGGGACAACATCCACTCGCTATCAACTGACGAGCAATGTGGTCCAAACAGCATCCACGAACGCGACTATTCATCTTTTTACATTTGGCTATATCTTTTATTATCAACAACTTTTTGTCCTTGTCTGAATATTTCATTATCCATATCTATATTCTGGATATATTTCCAATGTTCGCGTTACTTGATATTTTGACGTCGTAAAACTAACATGCAAGGAAACAGTTTCAATTATGACTCGAATTTCATATCAAATTTGATTTATATATCAATGCATGTATTTATATATCAATGTACATTATAATGGAAAAAAAATCATTTCAAACATTTTTTTATATTATTTAGTTCTTTTGTAATTATATTCTATAAAGATATATTCATAAACATTGTTTACATTTAAGAAAAATCTAAAATATTATTTGCTTTACCGACTCTTAGATTTATTAAATTAGTATTAGTAAGTTGTATATAGAAGAAAAAGATCTTAATATGAGTTATAATCTTAATATGGGCTATCGATATTTTGGTTCTGTATGGTGATATACTCTGTTGAGAAGCATTCGCATAATTCTTTCCAAGATATAATTATTTGCTTTTTGTACGATTTCTACTATTCGTTTTGCAAAAATCACAATTATAGATGTATCGTTACTTGGATTAATTTCATTTGGATTAATTGCATAATTGTTTTCGAGCCAGTTTAGAAGTTATATAAGATTTTTTGTTTTTCAACATTCAAAAAGTTGCATAGGTAGGTATATTTCATTTTTTATTTAGAAACGTATATATTATTGATTGTGATTGCTTACGAGCTATAAAGAATATAAGAGTGGATGTATTAAAGAACAAAATTTTATTGAAGATACATTGTGTTCGCTAATATAATCTCATATCATTTATGATGTGATATTGCGAAGATAGGCTATTATAAATGGTTCTAATATAGGTAAATGACAGTGATAATAGCCTAGATATGCGTATGTTCGCGCGCGCGCGTGTGTTGTGTGTGTGTATGTGAAAGAGAGAGAGAGAATGCGCCAGATGAAAGTAGAAAATATGAAGGAAATCATAGTGCAAGTTGTCTGACAAAAATGTGTGCTAATAATTAAATTATCATAACTTTTAAAACTCCCATGGAGGTATGATACGGATTGAGGCGAACATCAAAGTCCTATACCATTTTGGGATATTCGCAATAATTATCAAGATATTTATTGAAGAATATTTGTGATTAATTACGCAAGATATGGTAGTGGCGACGTATGTCATTGTATGCTTGTATATTAAATCCAACTGAACAAAAAAGTCTTTTACCATTTTCTTAATAACTTTCTAGATGTTCAATTATTAATTAAAGAAGATTGGCGGATGGTTGCGCGCGCACGCGCTTGCGATGATATATTAATGTTATCTTTAATATAATTAATAACTAAAAATTTACAAAGTTATTAGGCAAGAGGTAGAGAACTTTTTCGTTCAGTTTGACTTAATGTACAAGCACGACGGAAGATACCACTGTAGCTCATCTACCATATCTCACGTGATTATTCACAAATCTTTAATTAATAATATATTAATTAATCAATAATTATTGCGAATATATCCCAAAATGGTTCAGGGCTTTTATGTTCACCTTAATCCGTACTATGTCTTCACAAAAGCTTCGAAAATTATTCTGGAACACCTTGTATATTTAATGTATATTTAAGCTTTGTATATCTCATGGAAAAACAATAAATATAAAAACGAGCAACTTTAACATTTCAAAAAATACAATATTATTTCATAAAATGAAATTATAAACTAAACTAACTGTATTTAAAATAATACAGTAAAGTTAAATTATTGTTTAACATAACTATTTTTGTATAAGGCTTACTATTAATTGATGTCTACATTAAGGATATAAATTAAAAAATATATAGAGGACAACTATAAAAATGATAATTAAGTTAAATTATTTGCTTTTTGTACGATTCCTACTAATCGTTTTGCAAATTATAGATGTATTGTAACTTGGATTAATTTCATTTAGAATATCATTAAGGCAATACGAAACAAATCACATAGTGTTCCATTTTGCCCACTTTTGTCATGTTTCATCTTGTTCGCAATGTCGTTTAATTAATGAATAATAAATTTTACAGATTAAAAACTCATTTTCACTCACAAAGCTGGATGGAGATATCATTAATCGTTAGATATTACTTTATGTAATAAACAAACCAGTATATACTTACGATTGTTATAAATAGTAAATTAATAGACTTAAATTCACCTTTTAGTTTTTTACGATTTATATCAAAACAGAGAGCAAAGAGTTGTTTATAATTGCAAATCGGCAACAATGTTCACTACACTATAGTATATTTAAAAAAATATTTTGTTAATCCAGATAGAATTCTAAATATTACATTTAAAATTTATTGCTATTTTTTGTATTTGCTAAAAATATTGCCTGTGATACGTAGAATTGAGAGTAGCATTGTTCTAGCTATATTTGTAAGTAAATTTAAGTAGATATAAAGATTATACATTTGTTTGTTTTTTGTCATTAGATTTTTGTCTATAATAGTCAGTTTTTATAAGAAATGTGATAGGGGCTTTAATTTGGATGGACGCCACAGAGAGATTTTTTGCTAATTTTCACAAATAGTTCAGATAGAAATTCTGTCTGTTATCTATGTTAATTAAATATAAAACATATGTGATATTGCAATGTTTACCAGTTATTTATCATTATTAGCTAATTTTTCGTATTTAAATAATTTTCACTATGATTGCAAGATTTTTTAGTGTACATTGAAACAAACGTATCGAGAGTTATCTGATATGAAGTATGTTATTGTGGAAATAAAAATAATTAAGAAATGCTATCTTGTCTATATGTTCCATCATGCCTGCTTTTTCCTTAAATAAGTGCTATAACAGCTCATAGCAAACGCTCATAGCAAACGAGATTTTTACAAATTGATTGAAAAGTTGCTACCAAATTTACATATACCTATTTATCTGGGATATTCCTAATAATTTTTCTTTATTTAAAATCACTTAATTTATGGTCCAATAATTTTGCCTTAAAACTACAACGTTTGTAGCTTATATTAATATTAACAGTTCTTTTTAACTTAATCAACTAAATTATGCAAATAAATTTACTCTAACCTTATTGAAGTTTTGAACCTTATTGAAGAATTGAAATTATTTTAACCTTAAATGACCCATAATTAAGATCGTTACCTTACGTCTGACATCACTGCTCCGTATGACACGTGGTCTGCTGTCGAAACGCGACAGCCGCACGCTCGAGTTGAGCGCATCGTCTGATCGATCGGTGCCCAGCATTGGGGCAGGTCCGCTGCGCGCTCATCGAGTACCCACTCGTGCGGGTTGCTAAGGGACGCGAGAGAACAGAGTCAGGAGCTAGCTCGGATAATGATAGGACGCTCTTAAACAGATAGACTGTTATGTCATTAAGTACGATGCCGCTAATGCCTTCGATCGCGAAATAATCGTTCGTTCTTGCGTTCCTCAGTCGTCCGCTTTCTTCGGTGCGCAACTCGCTTTCGTCCTTTCACCTTGATGCTGAGGGATGCTCGAGGGCGCGAGAATGCGCGGGATGCAATGGTCCACGCGCGTGCGGCGAGAAAGAGGGAAAGAGCGCGGGAGGGAAGAGAAATTGAGAGAGATAGATAGATTGAGACAGAGAGGGGGAAGAGGGTGAGGGAGAGGGGAGGAGGGAGAGCCGCTTCGTCGCGAAACCCAGATTTTGCAGGCGAAACGACACCTTCCACTGCAACTCGCCGACAAGGACGCGACGGCGTTACCCGGCTTGTCCATGAAGACTCTTCGTCCTCTTGCTTGTGGTGCTTAACGATCGGTGTTGCTGTCGATTACACCACGCCGTGGATCGGCGCTGTGGTCCAGCGGTGGAGGTGGTGGCAGCGACGGCGACGGCGGCGGCGGCGGTGGTGGTAGAAGTGGAAGTGGTGGTGCGTCCGTGGGGGACGTTTCGCGAAGTGTACGAGAGAGAGAGAGCCGTGGTGCGCGCGAGAGGGTCGGATCGATAGCACCGAAAAGCGAGAGGAAAGAGAGCGCGCGGCTGGATCCTCTCGGCTAAGACGCTCTGGGGTGTCCTAGGACGCTGCGTGATCTCATCGTGTGCGCACCGGCTGTTAGGGCGAACGCGATCGCATCTTTGCGCGATGTTCGCGCGCACGTGCGTGCCTACGTGTTCACGACGCTCGGGCCGGATCTTATAGTGGCGATGTGACGTTCGTGTGCGAAATCGTTGGATTTCCCTTCGCGGTGTTGTCCTCGAGGAGAAGCAGAATATGCAACATCTGGCTTTCGTAACAGCGAATCGGGATGAGAAGTCGATGAGCATCAATCGCCGATTGATTTCGAAGATAACGTTCTCTCGAGTATCTTCCGAGTTGACTATCAACGCTTGTCGAGCGTATCGTATGGTGTAGCCGAAATTTTTTGCAAAATAAACGCGGTAAGCCCCGTTCCATAGCGTCGCGGGTGCACGGATAGGTCCGGCTCGCTCTCGTGTTGGCGTTCGGTGCAACTGCTGCTTCTCAGGGAAAATTAATGTACGAATTATCGTACGCGACTGTTGTCGGCGTTGTTTCCTGGTATATGCTCGGGAAAGAGAATCCGCCGAATCATACGCGGAACTTCGGATACGAATGCGAAGCGGAGAGCGACGACAAGGGACGACAAGGGACATCGAAAGTATGTGGGTAATATGGCACTTGACATATCACATTAATTCACGATATATCACTTTCGAAATCTCGAGTCTGCATACACCCACTCTCGTGGTGGAATATGTTGCATTATTTCGTAACGGCAGATTATTTCTGACGAATTTTTACGGAGGTATGCGATGCATACCTTAAAAAAAGGTAGTGCAAGTAACTTTTACTCATATTGGAAGCCTTAACTTTAGAAAGATAGTGATAACTTGATACGATGTGATTAAGTATGGTATAGTAAGTATGATACGGTGCCATGATTGAAAACTTTACCGATAAAATACAGAACTTTTTCTATAAAGTGTACGTTGTATTGGTTGCACAGAATTGCAGATACTTTTACACAATGAGAGTTCGTGCGTAAATGAATTGAAGTATTGCTTATTATGTGATGAAAAAAATAAAAAATATCGAAGTTAACACATCTATTTATCAGTTAGCTTAAATACTCGCCTGATATAAAAGTTCTGTAGCATATTGAACTTACATTTACTCCGCTCAAGAAAATTTCAAATATTTATTATACTTTTACAACTGAATTAGAAACTTATAAATGTACGAAAAATTTGAAAAAGAAGATTTCTGTATATGCGAGATTATTGTTAAATATAGTAAAAAAGCAGCACGCATTTTTATATGAAATCTACATATATACCAAACTTTGTAAAAATATAGTCTTATTCTTTAACATCATATATAAAGTATTTATGCATTACGACTGTCGATTCTTCTAGAAATTGTTGATTTCTCGAATAATCAGCAGTCATGATGCATGAATATTTTATTTCTGATGCGCTTGTCTCTGATTGAAAGTTTTAATCGTCAGTATGCTAGGAGGGTGAGACTGCATTTATAAAGTTTGCTGTATAGAATTTGTTTTCCGATGGGAGAATTCTCTTATTAGACAAGACGTATGTGTTACAAAATTTACATAAAAATAGCGGTTAACCTATTTGGCCGCGAATGTACAAGGAATATGAAAAGAATAGCGTGATTGTGTCATCGCTTACTTGACATGACGTTTTCACGATCGTCTCTATGTTATCGATATTTTTGGAGCTGGTCATCCATTTTGGCATCCTTTTAAGATAGAGATGAGTAACTCTTACTTACTTAAAATAACATTTCACAAAAAAGCATTGGCATCCATTTCAATGAATGATGAAATAAATACTAATGGGATATCTCAAAGACTTCCAATATGTGAGTAAAAGTTACATTCTGAAGTTAATTCTCTCCTCCCCCATTGAGTTGTAATTTGAAAAGAATCCAAAATACGAAAGATCGCCAATGACCGAGCGGGAAGTTGGAGTCGCGCGGAATTTAATCGTTATTTGAGCTCGACCTCACGATGTCGAAGGGTAGCTCCGATATAGCCGACAGCATTGACCGATATCGGTGTTGCTAACGGCGCTTTGCGCGATCTTAATTATGGACACGTTAATCTCCATCAGTGCACAAAGACAGTGTGCAACGCGATGAGATTCTCTTTCTTCATCGATTATCGCGGACAACGGGGGGTCGACAACACGGCTTGTGTCGTGATCGTACTGTGTACGCTACAATTGCGCGCACGGACACTTTAGCTTTAGTAGCGTTAAACGGCATTATATCGCGTGGGCGTTTGTCACTGTCACAAGATGATACGAACGTCCGGGAGGCAACATATTGCTAATTCTCTGCTTGTTGAAAACACTTTGGTTGAATACCTCGGTTACGACACAAGCAATTAAAAGTTAAGAAACTATTGAATGAAAAAATACACCTGGAAAGCGAACACGACACGAGACAGCTGCGGACGTGAATAAACGGCACAATGTTGTGGACAATGTGCTCGCACGAGACCGATTCGATATAACTGACTCAATTGCATTGATAATGTTTGTTTTTCATATTACAAGCGGAAGCGGCATCGCGACGAATACGTGCCCAGGCAGCCAAATAACTCGAAAAATAAGCACACTACAAAAAAATGTTTAGAATCAAAATTTCGTCATTTCGAGGGGGACGTACAATGACGTTAAAATTAGCCCCCCCACCCCTCCCCCTGGACGGTGAGGGGGGGCAAGTTTGAAATCTTAAATGGGAACCCCTATTTTTTATTGCATATTCGGAATCTTTGGCTAAAAACACATACAATTTGTCTGAAACATTTTTCTCGATTCATGATAGATGGCGCTGTAATCGACGAAATTCAATTTCTTCGATTTCTCTTACTGAGAACCCATGCTTACGATTCTGCAATAAATTAACAATAA